GATACGCATCACAACAAGCCTTTTGAGTGAGGGACCTCCACGGAGTTCTTACAGAACGGCCAGGCGAGCGGAACTCTTCGGCGAGCCGCTCTCTGGGGACCAACATAAACGGAGACGGGGCCGTGGACCCGCGGGAAACTTGTTTCTACGCCAGTCCCCCAAGTTAATGTTTTTTTTTTTTTTGCTGAGATATAGAGAGAGCGCGCCCAGACTTAACTCTTGGCTTCCTGGAGCGGCGGAACAAACGCGTTAATCCGATAAACCCAAGGGGCGTCCGTGCGGGGCTTTACCGCGCATCGAGTCCGCGGCAGTGCCACGAAAAGTTCTCGGGGAGAAAGCTCATTCCAAACTCCCCAAGGGGAAAAAAAGAAAAAGAAAAAATAAAGAAGAAAAAAGAAGAAGGGAGGCGACCAAGTAACAAGAAACACGCGCAAAGCCTGGGCTTCCCTGTCAGCCGCCTGTCGGTCTCTTCCAGGTGATTTCTCTACAGTCCCAAGAGAAAATAAACCACACCGGCGCCTTCCGCGGGCGAAAAATGGCTCTTTTCGAGAGGGAAATTCGGGGTTGTCTTCAGAGAAGGCGGTACGAGAGCGAGACTTTGTGATCAAAGGTCAGCTGGCTACAACTGTGTATATATATTCACGTCCACACACGCAACCACACACACATATACCGGACTTCATAAAATATTTACAGTATAATCTGTAGAGAATTTAAACACAACAGGAATCCATTAATGTTCTCTGCGAGTTTTTTCTTTTTTCTTTTTCTTTTTTTTTTTTTTTAAGCAGCCTTGAAAATGAGCTTCAGTAGTTTGGTTCGCGTCTCTCTAAGAGCAGTCGTGTCATGACCTCTCGATTATTCTTGCGCAAAAAAAAAAAAAAAAAAAAGGAAAAAAAAAAAAAAAAAGAAAAGCGAAAAAAGAAAAGCTCAGGGCATTGCATTCAAGCTTCGAATCTCTCTATCTTTGGTGGTGTAACGCCTTTCATCGGTTTAAAGAAAGGTCGCAGCCCGTCGCAAGCTCTGAGGCTAAAAGGTCCACAGCCGAAAACTTGGGTTTGGGGATGTTGGTTAAATTGTGGGTTCTCTCTGTGGTTTTGTGTGTGCAACAGCGCTCTCTCTCTCCCACTCACGTCCTCCTCAGCAGTCAAACCAACAGTCTGCAACAACTTCGGCACTCATTG